CTGGGTTTGATGACTTTAGAGTACACCTTGCACTCAAAGAGGTCACAATCATTTAGAATAATCAAATAGTAAATATCGAGATGTTTGCAATAGTATTCAAACTTAAACGGAAAACACACCTTACACATTGTGTAACAAACAAAATATGAGATGTTCGAAGCAATTCTCGATAACCGGAATATACACCTGTTCTTTTTCGCATGTTAAATGACAAAAACCTTTCTTTTCAGAAAGTATTTATAACTTCAATCATTGATCCAGGGGTACTTATCAATTCTTTTTGCTCTTCATCTTGTCCCGTAGGGGTAGTTAAAAGTCTAAATGTCTCATTCAGATATCGTGAACAAACTTACACATAGGACGGAATTGTCATCAAATTCTCGTCTTGCTGGACTTGAAAGCCGACAGGAATTGGTACGTGCGACATAATTTTCCAATAGTTGAAATATTATAACGAGTAAATGACGAAAAAATGAAGATAAAGAATCTATGCTATTGAAAGGCCGTCATTTTGAAGAGAATCTGTATCTTGTTAAAAATGATTAATGGAATTTCCATCCAAGAAGACCGTTTGAAATTTTCTCTCATTAGAGAATCTGACGGGGTTATCATGTTCACCGACAACTTGTTGTTTACAAAACGGAGCTGATACGATATCGATGTGACTTAATGATCTGAACAGCCTGTCTAGGGATAAGTCCATTGGATTTTTACACTGAATCCACCATGTTATTTAGGTTTGAAAGTTTTTCAAAGTATGACCGGATGCTTCTTACCCTAGTATATTTTTTGAAGCGCAAAAAGTATCAAGTCAAATCCTCATGAACTTTTTCAACAGAAGTTAATTATCTATATTTACATTCCAGATTTTTGTTTATTTTATTCAAATATACAGAAATTGAAAAACTATTTAAGGTTCATTTCCTCATTTTTTAGCTTTTTAGCGGCGTCTGCATGACGGCAAGCTTACTTTTTATAAGGATGTGAACTTAAACATTTCTTTCACAGTGTCCTCTTACAAAGTTAGAAATTTTCCCGTTTAATTTATTATGATTTATCATACACAAAATTAAAACAAATCTCTTGTCTGGTAGAGGAAAACAGAAATCTTCAAGAGAAATCACATTTATTATATATATATTCCAAAATAAAAAGGGGATTCAAAGTAAATTATTGCAAAACAACTTTCTTTATTTTTGTATTTAATTAAACAGTCTTTGAAAGACGGCATTTTTAGTGTTGACAATGTCTATTTTTACATTATCGTGGTAATTTTCTGTTCGTAACTGTCAGTTTCCACAATGACACGAATTGTCCAACAAAGCCACTGTTCTTTTTTTCCAGTTTATTTCCGACATAAAAAACTAATTTCACAAGGTATATCTCAAGGGTTACTTGCTATTGCTATTTCTTGGGGGTTTAAAATCCGAATGATTTTGTATGCTCCTACATAAATTTTCCAAAATGACTTGTTATTTACATAGGTATAACATTTAATCAAAATAATTTTTAGCTATTTTAAACAACTAAGAATGAATGTAAGTGTCTGATAATTTTGATGCTTTTCTACAATACTGGTATATATATAGAGAGAGAGAGAGAGAGAGAGAGAGAGCTGTCTTTCAAGTTTTCATTTGAATCATAATACAATAAGATAAAAAATGTTGTTGCAGAGAGACTGGAAACACACCCTTTGCTTGGAAGTGATCAACACTTATGTATGCATCTAAGATACAGCTGATCTGCTGGATTCGTATTGACATATTGAAATACCCTTACAAGTATATAGATGATGTAAAAACCTTGGGCTAGTGTTCACTTTAGTTCGATTGCCATATTTTGTTACTTTTTACCATTAAAAAAATATAGTACTGCATTCAGTGGGAAGGAATATAATATTCTGACATACAGTTTAGTCATACAAATATAATTTGGGTATCACTAATTCTAAAGTCATGCGGATAGTATCAGATACAAAAAAAATATAAATAAATATACACATCAAGCAAAGCGTTGTTTTTCTGCTTCTTTGTCGTTTTTCCTTGATCTAAGTCCAAGCGATGACAAGTTGGATCAATCCTTTTACCTAAGTGGGTGAATCCTAGGTGTTGTCTCTTGGAATTAAGAATGTTAGAGTGTTTGATGACCACAGTTCAATCCAAGTCAAAGAACAAAGTTCCCAGCCACGATCTCGTGGAAGAATGTCGCCCCCTGGGGTGGCAGTGTTTTTCTTATTATTGTTGGGTTTTTGTACCTATTTGATAACGAAGTATAATGCACCTGAAAACAGAAGCACATTACTGAAAGATAAGGTGCCTTTGAGAATATCGAATCTGATTACTTTTACCTGCCTCTTAAACGTCTTTGACACGGGAATGAATTGGCCTCTTCATACCCCTCTCGGTCTTGAGGTGTTAAAGCATTGCCTCTTACAAGATAATTTTATCGATTGCCGGTCATATTCATTGAATGGCATCTTAGAAGCGTGTAAATATGTCGATAATTCATAATGGGAACGAAAGCTTGATGAAACGAACAGACAATATTTCTCTTATGCTTTAGAGTTCCTGAACGACTCAGTTTTTTACCCATTCCTACTGAGTTGAGTTTTCTACTCTGTTAAAGAGGAAAATCAATCGATTATGTCTATAAATCAACAATCATAAAGTCATGGCATATTTTACCTTGTGAGATATTGGTGATAGAACATAATAAACAGTGGATTAACTTTGTTAGGTGCAGAGATAGTGGCTAGAAATATTTAAAATATTTCATTTTTACGTCAGGTGGAGGTATTTTTTGTATCAAAATACATTAAGACAGTTCAAACAGAGAAATTGCCAATAATAATGTTAACAAGTTTGTTTTTACAGCACAACAATCTACATATTTGTTTTACTAGGAATGATAGCTTTTCTGCAATATTAGAAATGTTAAGCTTCGTCTGTAAGTGGTATGATATTCGGAAGGAGACATTGGTTCTACGAAAAACAAGAGAAATTTGATGCAAAAACAACCGGCTTAGAAAAAAAGCAAGAATTCTGGATTCACATAACAGGAACTGTTTCATTGCACACACAACTAAAAGCCTGATGCATCGCTTCTTATTGGTGAGAGGATTGGCATGTCCCTGTTTTTATGTTAGTCCTATTGTCCCGTCTCTCTATGTCGCGCCAAGAAATATATTGTTGTCGAAATAAACATTCCACCTCGTTATCTTGTCACTTCTATTTGTTATTTTTGCAATTAATCATTATATAATTAACGACCATGCAATGAATGTGAATCGAGATCTGCAGCCTGAAGCGGTGCACCTCATAACATTTTTTGTCCGGCTGCTACGAATGTTTATAATGACGAAAAAATCAACCGTACATGACCAATGGGCTGTTCGGATTGCATGTTACGTCACTGAAATTGTAGCATACATATCAATACTCCTACACCAAAATTTTATCGCCTGCAGCAAAATTGCTAGCGTTGTCGGCGTTGAGCTATAAATTTCAAGAAGTTTAGGAATGATTTTATGAAAAGTACATCAATGCAAATATTATGCACATGCACTTTTACGATGAGACAGGAATTGGTCCTATGAAGAAGTACCACCATAATCATCAAGCTGAAAATGAATGGTTATAAGCATCTTTAAAAAATTGAGAAGTAGACATTTGCCTGGGTCAATGTATTTTTTGGTCAATATCAAATCATATTGACCTATTTAGTAGTCCATAATTGCAACCTATTGGTTATTGCTAAATTTACACTGCAGAAAATACAGTTACCTTGATTCCATGCAACAATATTGAAATACACTCACTTCCTAAGGGTTTCCGCATCTAATTGCAATCGGACCGTTTGGTAAAAAATGTATGAAGAATGTTACTTTGTCACACTAGTTTCCTGTACACCTTTTCACGACAGGAATTATTCAACCTGATCATTAATTTACTGAGAAGAAGAACTGTCCCACACAGCTATTGGTTTTGTGGTATACATGAAGGTATTTAGATAGAATTATCAGCTGTCAGCAGCGGTTTTGTACTGTATAAACCACATCTTATATATACAGTTACCTTTACATAGGTTTATTAAAGGGTACTGCGGTCAGTGCAGTTATGAATATAAATATCATTTAACGGCAGGCAATGGGTTTCCACAATGCAGGATGTTTTGAATAGAAGTAATTTATCAAAACACAAGTAATATAACTAATGACAGTCATGTATAATTTTTCACTCCTTCACACTTAAGTACGAAATTTGATGTTTGAAGCAACCCATAAGTACTTGTTAAAACATTTTTATGATAGTATAGAACAATAAGATCTCTTCCATTTGTCAGAGTGGTGTGAACTAAGCTAAATAATAGTACAAAACCACTGTACCAAAAGTATGTCAGGAATTCATGCATCTATCATCGAAATGTGCAAAAAATTGTTTTCACTTGCTATTAATCTTATATAATTAAATTAAGCCATTTTAACCGAATTCTGTTTTCGTAATATTCCCGTATCTTGAACCGAGACCCAGGTCAACGCTTTCAAATTGTTAAAGGAAACTACCGCATGATCGTATCATTTTGAGATATTAAATACCGAAAAAAGCCATCTTTGTGCCGTCAGCACCGGCACATGATCTGCAACGATTCGCTCGCTTTAACATCCCATCAAGTCGAATTCCAAGTCGGTGTAACCACCAAAATTGATTTGGCCAGAGACCATGTTCCAGCTATTCAAATTTCATACTTTTTGGATTTTGTGGTACGGTTTGATTGAAATACGGGAATGTTAAGGAGAATGATTAAAATTTTTAGCCCACATTCTTGTCGGATGGATATTTTATTTTGTGATAAGGACTCGTTCAATAAGTGATCAGATGTTGCCATATGGTGCATCAAATCATTTGATCTTCTTCGAAGCGTTTCGAAACATTCAATAACTAAGAACCCTGTTCCACTTCGACAACATCCTTTATGTATGATAAAAAATATAAGATTTCAAGTAAATTAACATTTTTATTTTTTCTTAATAAATATCCTGGCCATATGATTCATAGGACCATCACATATGTACATAGTCTTAAGACAAATTATGAATTCGTACAATTGTCGTCAACAATAAACAACACCAATTGCACTGAGAAAACGGACATAGGTTTACAAAGTACATATAATATCATTTGTGTATGTTCTTTGGTATTAAGACAGTATACTCGGTTTGCCGGAAACCAAATCACTCATTAGAAATGAGGGATAAGATCACTCCCGTGTAGCCCGAAAGTCTAGGTATTTCTGCCAAGGAGCAAGAGAGAGCGAAAACACTCAGAATCTAACAGGTTGTCGTACCTGATCGTGGTTCAGTCGCGTTATCCTGTATCAACAACCGAAGCATCCAGTCTACTGTTCTAAGACGCGCATCTGAAGAACAATCATTAACGATAATGATCGTATTCAGCGGATAAATAAATGAGATATTGTTTATTCCATAAACAAACGAAAGCCCGTCTAGATGAGGTCTCTGGAGAGCAAGGCTAGTGAGTTTTAACACCAATATAAGCCTCCTAATTCCGCTATGTCGTCGCGGCGTCTGCTTAGATCCAAATATTTCTTCAATGTACCTTCCTTAATCAACGTATTTCCATTACAAGGTTTTAAATATGGCATTTTATCAACCCGGAGTAGGGGCTTGATGAGCGAATAGACAGATCTTGGTCACAAGGCGACGCTTTGAACTCCGGTTCTTCACACATTGAGCTGATATAAGGAAAATTATCTCACAGAGATTGCCTATTCACTATTACAATTCCTTGGGTTGTTTGACAGTTCTTCAAACTTCCCGGCACCAGATATCGTTAATCAAATTGGATCGCGTTTTTAAAAATTTCCATGTAGAGTTTCTCGGTCTCAACTCCTCGACATCTCAGATTATTGAATAGATGAAAAGTGGCGACGAAGATTAAGTCGACAGAGTGGCACGGTTTATTTAATTGAACATAAAGTACCTTTTGTTTCTAAAAACAGAATGTATATGTGAAATTTAAATTGTGTATATTAAACTTCTTTGACGTATTTTATAGTATCACGGCGTGAGCGTATTCTGATATAACTTCTCGTAACACCCAGAATAGCAATTAAAGACAAGAAAGTCAATACTCTTTCTTGGTGTCTCTGTAAATGAAAATACTGGCCGAGGAAGTATTTGAGGATGAATTTAACTCATTGTTCCGCTGTTTGCATTCGGTTTTTAAGATCCTTCTATATCAAACCCAGCTGGTACATGTTTCAAATTCAAATCCCTATTTTTAGGAATTAACACTTGAAGACTTTTTATTTGTATTCGTTCAATATCGCTATGAGCACGAGCACGCACATTCTGTCAATATAGGATACTGCACTTTTATCCAGGAGCAGTTTGTTCCGACCTCCGGCCCCCTACAGTACCACCGCAGTAATGTGATTCGCGTTGAGCGGCTCTGTTGACAGTACATTCCAGGGGGTATGGAGCATGACCTCCCCCTATAACATTGTCCCTCCCGAATCCAGCGGGGCCAAAACCTGATTCCAAGATCCTTCCACGTATGGAACACTGGACAATGAGTATAACTCCATAGATATTTTTGCACTTTTTTTCTATCCTCACGTTTAAGTTTTAGTCTGATTCTTTTTTGATTTTTACCCGTATAAACTGGTCGTCCAAAGTATTTTATAAAATACGGCCTTCTGCCTTTCGGACGTCCTTTTCGAATTTTAAAATCCAAAGTTCCATTTCTGTGTAACACATGTTCTAATGGTCTCACTGTTGACATGTAATCACGATCAAAATCTCTTCCTAATAGGCGGCGCAAGCGCCTGTAATCCAGATCACCCTCCTTCGGATCATATAACGGATTTGGATTTTCTTCCAAGTCTATTATGGGAAGTTGATTTGAGGGAAAAGGACGGGTTCCGTCGTGGAATGAGATAGAATTGCGCTCCTCTGGTTCAAAGGGACTTCCACCGCTTAACCGATTCCAAGCATCTCTTGAACTTTGACCCGTCACCTTCCGATGCATCCAGAAAAGTAGGACGACACAGTTCAATATAAATCGATATAGATTCATCACTTCATCCGTGTACTTATCTAAAAAAAAAAAAAAAGAGATGACATTTTATAAGTAAACATAAAAGGGGACGTGTAGGATTTTCTTACATTTCCAAAATTCAAGTTTGAAATTTCATATGTTTATGACATTGCGGAATACAGAGAGTAAAGGTTAACTACTTACCATTGAAACATCTTCACGGTTTATATCATTGTAGAAATTATAGTCAATACTGGAATGTTTGACGAAGAAAACGTTTAAATGAAATTATTTTACACCAAAAAATTATATTCCATTTAGAAAATGCGTGCAGGTAAGTCCAGTTATTCAACACGGATGCCAGTGTCTCATCACATGGTCGAATAAGATAAATATCTAGAATGTACACAGCGGCCTCCAAGAAGTGAAATTTAGATGCTTAATGTTGGAATTTGATGTAAATTATCCCTTTTGTATTTTTCTTGCGAGACACTTTGTCTGATGTGTACGATCGTGATTCTGAAACTATACAATATTTTTAACTGTTATTAGAAGCCTGTTAAGACTGTAATCCTAGCAAAAACAACAGCAACGACCGAGAGTCTATCGAATTTGTGTCAATCCGGACAGTAGGACGTTTAGTCTAAAGGTTCTCAGACCTATTCTCTATGTACATCGAATGTATGCTTGTCAAAGTGAAGGGGGCGTGGCTTAGCATGCGAACCAATACAAATGACTTCTCATTATTCGCGATCCCATTCATAAATCGAAATAAAAGGGTTCTGGATACTAGATCAAGAACAAATGATCCGAGCTGAGAGATAGATTAATTCTTATCTGTCGCACAAGAGCAGTGTCTATGAGATTGTCCGACACCGGAGATTTCTTCAGTTGCGATAAATTTCTTTCGTTCACTTGTTTCGTTCAAGGCAAAAACGAGTTTAGCAATAAACATAGCAAAGTTATGTTAGAAGGGTTAGGCGGCGCCAACACTGATACAATGCTAATCCCTACCTATTGTGATCCTCGTAGATAGATACATTTATGTGCATGTAATAAGTATACGTTATATTGAGAGAGTTTGGGGTATTTGAATGTTATCTTAAGTATACGACACAGAAGAAAATATTAATTTCATTTAATGTATTAATTTATTTCCACAAATCATAGTCCCGGACGCCACCATTTATCTGTAAGTTTCAGAGAGCTGACTCTCTTTGTGGAGCCACCAAAGAAATGTCACTGGGAAATATTTAATGACTACACTGACATATTTCAATTTAGGAAATTAAGTAGTGCGAATAAAATATTGCTGGGTAATTTTTTATCCTTCTATATACAATACTCTACACTGTTGGTAGGAAAAAGAATACGTTTACATTATGGTGTGACAAATTGAAAGATTAACTTGAAAGGTGTACAAAAGTTAACTAAACGTTTTCATTTTATGGCCATTTTCTTCCTGATTGATGTATTTAAAACGGGATCATAGAAATCAACCTAGTTCTGGCCACTGAATGATACAATATTATTTTTCGTCCTCAAATTTTCATTCTTGACTTTTTTTTTTTTATAAATTCAAAAAGTAATACGTTGCCTACTGATGAATATTAATTTTAAAACATTTACTTGTATGATTTCAGTATGTACATAAATTGCATCTAGTCATTTTTCAAATTTTATAGTATCTAGGTACTTCACAGTTCATGTAAGGCATAGCATGATAGGGCAGTGCACAATGTAAAACTCTTGCCATATTGAAGTATGAATTTCAGCTGCGAAAGGTTCAGTTACATGTATCTGTGGTAGGTTTAGGGCGAAGATCAGGGATATCAGGTTGATTTATTTTACATTTTCCTACGTAATTAGATTTAATTATGCAATAATTTAAATTTGTGATTGGTAAATGCGCGAGCGTTGTGATATCGTTAATCTATCTATTTTAATACAAGAATCTGAGTTCGCGTGTACAGAATACCCAAGGGTCACGCCCCTCTCCCAGAAAACCAACAGCGGTGTCACTTTACTCGCCTTTTGCCAACTTCAGGTTAAAATAATCGTATCTAAATATAAATTCCACGTGTGACGATGGCTGATAGAACACCTGGTTGCTATTTTTTATCTGTTTGTTACTATAATAACCTGTGCGTAGCTCAATGAATTTCTTTTGATATGCTGAATTGCATAATAAAATCGGTTTTTGTCGTGGGTGGCTACAAAGGAAACTTAATGCAATTTTAATAATGTACATTGATTGATCCTTTGTTTGAAATTTTTACATCACAACGTTAAACAGTTTGTTAATTGAAATTTAAAATATGCAGCCTCTCTCTCTCTCTCTCTCTGCTGTGTATAGATATCTCAAGAGAAAGTATTACTACAATACTTATATACACTGGACAGCAAGATATTAGAATCTATTTATTTGCTGGATCCTCATATAAATTTATCAAATTTAGCAACCATGCTTTATAATAAAGCAATACTGAAGATTAAAGAAGTCCAATGATGTACACAGAGAATTTGATTCCTTAACACTGCTTAAGAACCAATTCGATTCTTTTTTAATACAAACAACATTCTTCAATTTTGTTTTGATTGTTGGAAGCCGTCTCTACCAAAGTAAGCTTTGTTTTCTATTGTGAAAGTCACGTTAAATGCGATACAAGGCATTCTTTCACTCTAATAATGTTGGCGTAGTACCCAATAGAATACTTTGGTTGACAGTATACTATCATTCATTACAAAGCGCACAAACCTATAGGATTTATCAACAGGAAGCCTAGTATTTCTCCTCGATCATCGTGGTGATAAAGTTTGACGCAATGCGATCAAAGTTCCGAGATTTCTTAATATAATCAAAGTACTGAAAGTACTGAAAGCCGGACTTTAATATGCTCGAGTATATTGTCTAATCCTAAATTAGTACATATTTGAAAATCTTTCTGACCATTGATATTTAACAGGTAGAGTTTGTATGATTATGATTTAACAATAACCCATCTAACAATAATTAAAATTAACGGTCCAGAACCCAACGTTAAGACCCCAGGATAGGACTTGGTGATATTACCTTTCTAAACATTAAGCTCACAATGGTTATGCATGGTGACAGTGCACTTTGAGTGGTTTTGCTGATTCATACAGGCACATAGTATCGGAGGAGCTAGGGGTGTCACAATTTTTCAAACATAAGCTTTTACAATGGACAATGTACATTGAAAGGTTGATTGACTCTTCGCAATCAAATTTAAATTGGAACCTTCAACTCACTCTTCGTAATATATACCAGGTATTTGTCACGAACGACGAACAGATTTACTAAAAGCAAAATGGGTGGTCTAAATTTAATTAGATTGTACCCATCATTTTATTGTAGCATATTAAAATTACGGTAATTTGGTAAATTCGAAATGTGAAAGTAAGTTATAGCCCACCCCTACTCCTTCTCCAACGGAATAGGATTCTCGGGTTTGGACAATTTTCCTTTTTTTCTCCTTTAAAAACGATACTACATGCCTGTATTAATCAGAAAAAAAATATTCTTTTTTTTGGTCCTCTAGAAAACCAGCTGCACGAAAATTATAATTATCTAATTTTTAAGACATGAATATGAGTCTAGTTCTAGTTCCAAGTTCGGCTAAAATGATCATTGCCTGAGAAAATCATGATATATTCAGGTCTTTATGGCTCGTACATAGATGGCTCTTCATTCTGAACAGGAAGTTTTGAAGCAAAGACTAACCAACTTTTTCTGAAAAATTATGTGTTGTACTTAGATAAAGAGTAATGAACATTTTTATGTTGTATTTTTTAAATTATATATTAACATAAACGATTTTTATTTCCCAGCACTCTTGAGAGTTTGTATGTGTTTTTAGACAATTTTTTTTTTGGAATGCGCGCACATGCTCAATATACTGTAAAGCGCTTTGGGAGCACATACGAGATGAATCCAAGGTGAGAAGTCTTGAACAAAATTTTCACATTTAAAACATACCATTGACTTTTCACTAAAAATTTAATCTGAATTTGTAAGCATAAAAATTTTCGACGCTAAATTGATTGTTCAATGGGTATAAATAATTAATATATTATACATAAACATATTCACATGAAATTTCTATCTTAAAGTTTAAATTTTTATTTATTTATATTCCATGCTTCACAGAATATAAATCTTTATCCCAGTCATCTAAATTAAAACTTTTAAATTAAAATATTAACCAAATGGAATTGCTTTGTTTATTTCATATTATGAAAGAAAACAAATAGTTTTGAACTTCATTTAAATCACCTTTATACAAAATCTTAGTCGCCCGCGTGGCGCAGTGGTTAGAGCGTCTGCTCTAGAGTCGCGAAGTAAGGAGTTGATCCTTACGTCGCGGGTTCGAATCCCACTGTGGGACGTGGAGACCGGTCCTTCGCATGAGACCGTATAAACCGAGGTCCCGCAGTAGATGCTGGCATAAAAAAGATCCCTCACTGCTCAATGGCCGTAAGTGCCGAGTATGGGACAAAATTTGCAGCTCTCCTCCGGCAAGTGGTGGCGTCTCCATATGAGTGAAAAATTCTGGAGAGGGACGTTAAACAACATACAAACAAACAAACACAAGATCTTAACCATCATAAGGAATTTTGTTCGAAATTATTTATTAGAAAGGAGAAAGTCATTTTAATTGCATTCAGGGTTATCGAAGTAATACCGTATTTTCAAACCCTTTTCTTTAAACGCATTCAAATTTTAACTTTTTTTATTTGAGTAGTAATATATTGAAAACATTTCAGCATTACCAGTTTTACGGCGTAGAATTTGTCCGTCAAATTCTAATTCTGGGCCAACCGTGAGTTTTCCTCTTATTGTTGAACCCAGATTCATAAAACCTCCAATAAGCCAACACGCGTTATAGTTTTAGTACTTTTATATAGAATCAGCATGGAATATACTTTTACATGAGTTTGGGATGTATCAGCACCGAAGGTCTGATTCCAACTGACTATAAATTTTCACAACAAAACATACATACTGAACAAAGAAAGAGTAAAATAAAGGATTAACAAAAAGTATTTAGAAATCAAGTATTAAACAATTATTGAGCGAATGATGACATTTTAGCGGCATGTATATAATAGAATTAAAGTAGATGAAAGATTAAGTGTCAATAAATATAAACAGAAGTCAATTAAGGGATTAGGTGTCCATCTCTGATTGTATCTCGGGTGGGATTACGGCTGTGCGGAATTTATAGAATTTAACAATTTTAATTCTACTAATAACATATGGCTAGTTAAGGGAATACATAAGTCATTTGTTTTATTTAATGTCACTAATTTAAACATTTAAGGTCACTAATTTAAACATTTAAGAAAACAATTAATTTTTTACAAAAAACATCTGTCTGTCAATTGCCAAACTTTTTTAAAAAGAATGTTGGTTTGCTGATTTTTCTTTGGATAGATTTGAATTAGAATTTAATTTAAAAAAATTAAATTCATATTGGTTTAATAATTTATGCAATTCATAGTTAAAGTAATGCACATATTTTTAGAGATATTCTTTAAGTTTCAAACAAACAGTACTTTTATTGCCGACTAGATACACCAGATACACCATGTACAATTGTTAG